GCGGGAGCTGGGAAGAGCCCTGCTCCAAGCTGGGACACAGCAGATGAAACACATTCCCCACGACGTCCTTCCCTCCCCGTGAGGCGCCTCTGGCCCTGCCAAAGCGCCCATCCTGCGCCTCCTCCATCCAGCCCTTGACCAGAAGGGCAAACGGAAAAGCTTTTGGTAACTTCCAGCTGATCTTGGCCGGGAATGAGTGACTCACAAAGGAAAAAATTCCCTGCCTATTCCTCCGCGAGCAAAGGTCAGGCAAAGCTCGCAGCAGGACCTGCGGAGAGGCTTTCACCATCTCACCCCCCTTACACCATCCTTGGTTTTGCTCAGGAAGGCAGATGTGAAGGCCATAAATATTGTCCCACATGTGGTGAATGCATGGAGGAGCGGAAAATCCACCTGACTGAAGGTGAGTGGCTACTGGAGAGAGGAGCAGCCGCTGGTGCCTCCAGCCTCTCCCTTGGTGCCTTCTGGAGCCAGGCCTGGCCAATCTGCAGAGCTGAAAGAAACAGCCTGCCCTGCTCTGTGCAGTGAAGCCTTCAGAAGGCTTGGCTTATTCTCCCCAAACATGTCAGGGTTATCACAGAATCGCCCAGAACGCTTTGGGTTGGGAGGGAACTCAAAGCTCAGCCCATTCCAACCCTCTGCTGTGAGCAGGGACATCTCCCACTGGAGCAGTTTGCTCCAAGCCCCGTGCCTCATCACTAATTTCTTCCTAATACCCAATCTAAACTTTGTTTTAGTTCAAAGCCATTATTCCCCCTTCTTCCATCTCTCTCTCCATGCCTGTGTGCTCTCCCACTCTCCCCTGTGCCAAGCTCTGTGTCCATTATAGAGCCCTTCCACAAATATTGTTTTGCTCATTTCCTGGCTCTCTCCACCTTGCACCATCTTGGGGAATCTGGCACTTTTATGTGAAGGCCAAAACACAAAGCCTATAAAAGCAAGGACTGGGACACGCTGGGGAAAGGATCACATGTTCAGGCAGTCATCGCCTTCTCCTCCTGCACTGGGTCAGATGATTAAAACTGAGCTGATGGAAGCAATTCCAAGCTCTGGAAAAAGCCAAAACTTCTGCTCTCCATAGGAAAAAGTTATCTACTGGGATAGAAAAACAGGCAATCCTGCCAGCATTTTCCAGGCCAAGTTTCACTCACTGAAGTGTTCCTCACACTCCTGCTTTGTTTGGGGGATGGCACGGAGGGGTGCTCAGCCCTACTCAGTTCCTGTCAAGCCAGACCAGTTCCTCTGTTCCCACCAACACCACGGCAGGAAAAGAAATAAAACAACCCCAAAGCATGACTTCTCTGTACTAGCAAAGGAGTCAGCACTGGAAACAAAGGAGCTGTTTGAAAGCTTCATCAGCTGGGGAGAGCTGGGGGTGCTCACCTGGAGAGGAGAAGGCTCCAGAGAGAGCTCAGAGTCCCTAAAGGGGCTCCAGGAGAGCTGGAGAGGGACTGGGGACAAGGCATGGAGGGACCGGACACAGGGAATGGCTCCCACTGCCAGAGGGCAGGGCTGGATGGGAGATTGGGAATTATGGATTGTTCCCTGTGAGGGTGGGCAGGCCCTGGCACAGGGTGCCCACCCTGGATCCCTGGCAGTGCCCAAGGCCAGGCTGGACATTGAGACTTGGAGCCACCTGGGATAGTGGAAGGTGTCCCTGCCCATGGCAGGAGGTTGGAATTAAATGATCCTCAGGGTCCCTGCCAACCCAAAGGTTTCAGGGATTTTATGAAATAAATATTTTGCACTCAATGATTAAAATGATGGATGACAGGGCTATAGGGGAAAAAGGCAAAGTAATCAATTCTAGACAGCACAACACACACAGAACAGAGTAAAATGCAGAAATTCTTCCCCCTTCACTGAAGCAGTTTCCAAAGCAATTCTGGGTTTAACATTATCACAGAATCACAGAATGGTTTGGGGTGGGAGGGACCTCAAAGCTCATCCCATTCCCAACCCCTGCCATGGGGTGTTCATGCCTGTGTGCACATGGGATTAAAAAAAAAAAAAACAAACCTAAAAAACAAACAAATTTCTCCAAAAAGACTTGTGCATCTTCACTCAAGACTGTTTCTATATCAAACTGCACAGCTCCAGTGCTTCACTTGTAGAAGATAAATGGGTTTTATTTGCTTTAACATCCCCACTCTGCTTTCTTCATGAGCGGGGCAGCTCTGAGTCCAAATTTAAAGATACATATTTTAATTTTCTGGGCAAAATAATTGCTTCCCTGCACTCACAGCCACTGGACTTAACACAGTTGCCAGTTCTAGAGTCACCTAAATGTGGGCTGACTCTGGCACACAGAGACAAGCAGGATGTTTTCCCAGAGAAAATGCACCACACTCACACACTGGGGGATATTTTCTTTGTGAGGCATCACAGGGCTAATTTCAATGTGGGGCTGTTTGATTTTTAAAGCAACTCTGCTCCCACTGACACACTACCCTCAGAGATCACCTTGCAGGCCACCCTTTGGTACAGGATTATGCCATCTCTATTTTAAGGCTCTGATTTAGCCAAGCTTACACACAAGATGAAGAACTTCATTACCTAATGGGCTGGATATACTGTGGCATCTCAAAATTCAAACTCAGCTTCCTCCTTAGAGAGATTTTGAGCAGAGTCAGTCAAAGCTTTGACATAAATGAGAGCAAATATGTTCCTATCACCACTGCTTTGAGCTTGGCCATTAAATGGAAATGAGCCTGCCTGATTTTTCATAGACAAACAACTACAGGCATGGACAATTACAAGGGAATAATGGAAATATTTGTCACAGGAATTCCCCATCCTTCCCCCACCCTGAGTGCTTGTGCCAGTGTGCAGCCACAGAAACATGGGGACATGTAAATGTTCCACACACACCCCCAGAGACGCACACATTGTACATCCATATATAAATATATTCACACCCAGGCACCTCCTCACCTCTGCCCTGGCCACAGCACAGAGGACTCACCAAGGCACAGGGGTGTTTGCTATAAATCCAGCTTCAAATAGGGACACTTCTCACAAAGCCCAGCTCCTCTCTGGACTAAGGAGTCTGTAAACAACACCCCATTAACTTTTAATCCCATCTTCCCCACTCTGACATGCATTTTGTATTGAAATGAAAGTTATATAAGGTTGAATCGAGGCTGCTTTTTAATATTACATTAAGGCTATTTACCATGTGCAGCACTAATCCCCCTTTGAAAAAAGGAGCCTATTACCAATTCGGAAAGCTTACGTTGCCATAGCAATACTCCAGCACTGGGAAATATTTATATAATGTCTCATGTTTTCACTTGCAACAGCCATCTTCCACACTGGACTGCCCACTGACCCTGCCTGGTGCCTAATTCCAAAAATCTGAGCATGTCCAGACCCACCTGCAGGCACTGCCCCTGCAGTCCCACCACAGCCCACACGCTCAGCCTGCAGCTTGTGCTATGGCAAACGTCCAACGAGAAGTTCCTGTGCCACCACTCCCAAAATGTGTGAGCACAGCAGCAGGTAACCTCCTGCTAGGGTCACATCCAACAAGGCATTTTCTGTGTCCAGGGAAGGGAACAGAGGTGGGAAGGGGCTTGTTCTGGATTGCCAGGCAACTTGTGTTCTATTTGCCATCTGTATGGCAGCTGTCTTCTGTTGAGTGGGCAGTTTTCCTTATCTCTTCCACAACCAATCTTCTCTCTGGGGAGACATTTGCTGATAAGAGGCTATTGAATGTCACTGCATGGCTGATAAGAACTAGAACATCCCACTGGGAGATGTGAGCCCAGAGGGAGGAGCCAAGCATTGCTACCCAGATATAATCCAGAGGTTTGTGAGACACCAGCACGGCTTTCTCCACGGGATTCCCCAGAGGAACAGCAGCTGCCTCTCCTTCCACTGCATCTTCAGAGGAAGAATCCATCCTTCTCTACAGATCCCCCTGCTCCAACAGAACCAGCCCTGACACTGCAGGAGGGCTGCAGCCACATTTCCAATGGGACTGCCACCAACACCCTGACCCACAGGGTGTCAGGTTGGGTTCTGACTCTGTCAGTGTTGTTCTAGTGTACTGCATTATTTATTTCATCCTTTTATTTTTTCTTCTTCCCTATTAAAGAACTGTTATTTCCTGCTCCCATATTTTTGCCTGAGAGCTCCTTAATTTAAAATTTATAACAATTCGGAGGGAGGGGGTTCATATTTTCCATTTCAGGGAGACTCCTGCCTTCCTTAGCAGACACCTGGCTTTTCAAACCAAGACAGGGCTGCTGCCCTGTGACGGCGTTCGCAGGGGTCTCAGGATGAGGGAAGAGATGAGGATCTGACTCCATGTTTCAGAAGGCTTGATTTATTATTTTATTATATATATTATATTAAAACTATACTAAAAGAATAGCAGAAAGGATTACATCAGAAGGCTAGCTAAGAATAGAATAGCAAAGAATGACAACAAAGGCTTGTGGCTCAGACTCTCTGTCCGAGCCAGCTGGGCTGTGATTGGCCATTAATTAGAAACAACCAACATGGGCCAATCACAGATGCACCTCTTGCATTCCACAGCAGCAGATAACCATTGTTTGCATTTTGTTCCTGATGCCTCTCAGCTTCTCAGGAGGAAAAATGCTAAGGAAAGGATTTTTCATAAACGATGTCTGCAACACAGCCCCAAGAGAGGCTGAGGGAGCAAGGAGCGGGCTCAGCCTGGAGAAAAGGAGGCTCAGGAGGACCTTCTGGCACCCTGAGAGGAGGATAGAGAGCAAGGACATGAGGAAACAGCCTCGAGCTGTGCCAGGGAAAGTTTAAACTGGAAATCAGGGACAATATCTTCCCTGATCAGTGGCCAGGTGCTGGAACAGGTTCCCCAGGGCAGTGGTAGCCTCACCACACCTGGAATTGCTCAGAAGCTGTGTGGGATGCAGCGCCTGGGGACCGTGCTGGCGCTGCTGGAATGGCTGATCCTGGAATGCCTTTCCAACCTCAACAACCCCTCCAATCCCTTTGCCCCCAACCTCCCTTACCTTGATGTGCTCGTGCAGCTGCGCCTCGTGCTGCCGGGAGAGCTGCTCGTGCTGCCGCTGGAACTCCGCGATCAGGATCTGCCTCTGGATCTGCTGCTTCTGCTTGAGGGCCAGCAGCTCCTGCTGCAGCTGCTGCTCCCGCAGCGTGGGCTCC